TTTCTTTATAATCCGTGCCTTTTAATTGGAGAGTTAAGTCCATGTACATTCAGTGTTGTTATTGGTAGGTAAAGACTCACAACTGCCATTTTGTTGCTTGTTTTCTGGTTGTTTTGTAACTTCTGTGTTCCTTTCTGTCTTTCTTTGTGGTTAAGTGATTTTCTGTGGTAGTATGTTTTAATTTTTGCTTTTTAGTAAATATAGGTTATTGCATTGCAGTTACCGTGAATCTTACATCTTATGGATATAACAAATTATTTTAAAGAGATGACAGCTTACCTTAGGTCACAAAGAAAGGAATAGAAACAAGGAAAAGACAAAACAAAATGCCCTGTATGTTAACTCTTTCTCGCACATTTTGCCTTTTCGTTGTCTCTATTTACATAGTTTTGGATTTTTGTTTGTTGTTTTGAGACAGAGTCTCACTCCGTTACCCAGACTGGAGTGCAGTGGTACAATCTTGGCTCACTGCAACCTTCACCTACTGGATTTAAGAGATTCTCCTGCCTCGGCCTCTCAAGTAGCTGGGATTACAGGTGTCCACCACCATGCCCAGCTAATTTTTGTAATTTTCATAGTGATGGGGTTTCCCCATGTTGGCCAGGCTAGTCTCTAATTCCTGACCTCAAATGATCCACCCGCCTCGGCCACCCAAAGTGTTGGGATTACAGGCGTGAGCCATTGCACCCCACCAATTTACGTATTTTTGTATTGCCTGTCTCTTAACAGGTTGTGATAGCTATTATTTTTGTTAGATTTGTCTTTTAGTCTTCATATTAGTTATCACACAACACTGTTACATTATTGGAGTCTTCTAGGGTTGTCCATGTTCTTAATTTAACCAGTGGTTTTTATACCTTCAAATGTTTTTTATTTTCACATTAGTGTTTCTCCTTCCTGATTGAAGAACTCCCGTTAGCATTTCTTGTAAGATGGTTCTGGTAATTGTGAATTCTCTCAGTTTTTGTTTGTGCGGGAGAGGCTTTCTGTTTTCTTTATAGTTGAAGGAACTTTGCCGATTATTAGATGGCAGGGTTTTGTTTTTGTTTTTGTTTTTTTGTCCTTTTAGCACTTTGAAAATGTTCTGTTCCTTCCTGTCCTATGTGGTTTTTCTTGAGAAGTTTGTTGCCAGATAAATTGGAGCTCCTTTGTATGTTATTTGTTTCTTTATTGTTGCTGCTTTTAGGATCCTCCCATTGTCTTTGACCTTTGAGAGTTTGATTATTATATGCCTTGGGTAGTCTTACTGGGGTTGAGTATTTTGGTGTTCTAAGACCTTACTATTTCTGGATATTTATCTAACGTTTTGACAAGTTTTCTGTTATTATTTCTTTGGATAACTTTTCTACCACTTGTTCTTCCTCATTTTCTCTTGAACACCAGCAATTTTTAGATTTTTTTTTTGAGATAATTTTCTATTTCTTGTAGGTGATTGTCATTTCTTTACATTTTTTTCTCATTTAATTAGATATTTTCGAATAGCCTATTTTTGAGCTCACTGATTCTTTCCTCTGCTTGACCCATTCTGTTGTTGAGACCCTCTAATGAATTTGTTAGTTCAGCAAATGTTTCTCAATTTTAAGATTTCTGTTTGATTTTAAAAATTATTTAAAATCTTTTTGTTACATTTTTGGGATCAATTTCTGAATTGCTTTTCTATGTTTTCTTGGAGATCACTAAGTTTCCTTAAAATTGCTATTTTGAATTCTTTGAGAGCTCACATATTGACATCTTATTAGAGTCAGTCAGTGGTTTATTGGTTTGTCTTTTTGGATAGGTTATGTTCTCTGTTATTATTTCTAATGGATGCACATCTATGTCTTTGCATTGAGGGATTAGTTTTTCCAGTCTTCTTTGTCTGACTTGCTTTGGTTTTTATGGGATAGGTTTGTTTAGAGATTCTTTGTAATTTTCATGTTGATTTTTTTTTTCCAGGTAGGTCTCTGCCTCCTTTTTGGCGCTAAATGGCACCTTAGGCTCAGGTTTGCCTTGGCTGTAGTAAACAAACCATTGGAGTGCAGTCCATTCCAAATTGGTGAGGTCCCAAAAGGGATAGCTCAGCAATGTGGAAAGGCTTGCTAGCAGTTTGTGCCCAGGGGAACTGTGGAAAGAACCTTAGTATGGTAATGCCACTCTGATTTGGTATCTCGTTTCGCTTAGTTACAGAGCAGAGTTTCCAGGACTGAGGATGGTAGTCCTACCTCTCTTCTTTGTCTCTGGCTGTCCTCAGGGATATATTTGTCTTCAGGCACACCCAGTACTCCCTGTGGCTGGAGGCAGGGAGAGGTCTTCTGCCAGGGAGCCTAAGATGATAGGGGGAAGCTTCTTGTCTACTTTGATTTCACTTTTTCTAGTATAGAAACTGTGAGTTGGGGAAAATTTTTATGAGCTTGGTGCTGGGCAGAATTGGGGGAGGCATGTCTGGGATATGGAAGTCCGATTCTCTTACTGACTGCTCAGTTTTTTCACTTGACTGTGGCCCCAGAAACTGTTTCATCCTCATATTTGAGTTCTGGGCTATTGCTAGTGATAATCTCAGTATTGTATATTTGTTTTTGTTTTCTGTGAAACTAGAGAGTGAAACTAGCTTGCTTCTATGGGCCACTTTGGAAGTAGAAACCCTCTCAAAAAATTTTTATTAATTTGACATACATTTATTGAGCACATACTATGTGTCAGTTCTTCTTTAGAGAGCTGGGGATGTTACAGCAAATAAAAGACAAAGTCTGCCTACATGTGGTGAGGGGAGAGACAGAAAATCGTCTAAATGAATGAGCAAAATATATATTACATAAGGATATGTGTTTAGCTAAATATAAAGTAAGAAAGGAGAGTAGATAGTATTAGAGGGGATGAAATTTAAAATAAGTTGTTAAGAAAGCCTTCACTGAGGAAGTGACAATTGGGTAAACACCTGAAGGAGTTGAGGAAGCAGATTTTGTGGATATCCTGGAGGAAGAACATTTCAGGTAGAGGTAACAGCAAGCGTAAAGCTCCTGAGGCAGGGATGTGCATGGTGTGTTTGAGTAATAGCATGTCAGTGTAGTTCCAACAGAAGTGAGGGGGTGAATATTAGATGATAAGGTTGGAGAAGTAAGAGGAGCCATTAGAAGGTTTGTTTGTTTTTTCTTTCCTTCTTTCCTGTCTTTCTCATTGTGTTGCCCAGTCTGGACTTGAACTCTGGGGCTTAAGCAAACCTTCTGCCTCAGCCTCCTGAATACCTAGGACTATAGAATTGTGCCACCATGCCCAACTTTATTGGAGGGTTTTGATCACAGGAGTGACATGATCTGACCTATGTTTAAAGGGATCATTTTGGACTGGGTGCAGTGACTGATGCTTGTAGTTCCAGCACTTTGGGAGGCCAAGGTGGGTGCAGTGCTTGAGGCCAGGAGTTTGATACTAGCCTGGCCAACATGGTGAAACTCCGTCTCTACTAAAAATACAAAAAATTGCTGGGCATGGTGGCACATGCCTGTAATCCCAGCTACTTGGAGGCTGATGCATCAGAATCGCTTTGAACCTGGGAGGTGGAGGTTTCAGTGAGCTGAGATTGCACCACTACACTCCAGCCTGTGCAGCAGAGCAAGATCCTGTCTCAAGACAAACAAAAATAAAGGGATCATTTGACTGTTATGTTTATACCAGACTGCAGTTGAGAGTGTGGCAGTGGCATGGGCAAGAAATAGGGAGAGCAGTTGGAAGCCTGATGCAATAAATCAGGCTACTATTTGGGTTGACCAGTATAGCGGCAGCAAAGATAGAATTAATCAGGTTCTGTGTATGTTTTGAAGTGTAAATGATGAGTAAGCAGTTAGAGGAATCTGAAGTTTTAGTGGGGCAGTGTTTAGTGTGAGGGGCAGCTGAGGGAGAATAGATTGATATGTGCCAGCAACTTATCTTCTGGACTTCTTATCTGGGATTTCTTGTTTCACCTGAATTATACTGGCCACTTGGGCATTACCCTGCTTCTCCATAGTCAAGGTATGTGAATTGGGCTTATTTCCCAAGTGGTCACTTCTTAACAGGTATAAAGCCTGTCTTGATCTTTGTAATTATTGCCTCTATGCTTGTAACAACTCCAGATTCATTCCTTTTTTTGTTTTTCTTTTCCATAAAGTTTTAGGTTATGGCTGTCCCTGAGTCTGATCCAATATGCTTTCTTTCAGCAATTCTTTAAAATATCTTTTCTGTCTATGGCATTCCTGTTTGTTTCTTTAGTTTTTTATAACTTTAAAAAATATCTTTTCTATTATTTTCTGAGATTTAGGCTGTAAATGGTGAAGTCAGTGTGTACACCTAGCCTGCATTTCAATCCATTCTTCTTGTTTGTAATAAAAAGAATAAATTATAGAAAAGTGACAAATGCATAGTGATAAAAATATTATAATATTCTTATTTGCATAATGACTATTGGTTTATTTCTTCCACTTTTTTCTAGAATATTAAATTTTATTTATTTTACTTACATAATAAGCATTTTATTATGTAATTATAAACTGCATAATTGGGATTTCACTTTCTAAGATAACTTTCTGGGGCTGCTTTTCGGTGGCCCTCATCTGGTCTCTCTAGACTCATGGTAAGTATAACTATTCAACTGTTTACTCACTGCTTTGAAGTGACTAGAAGGCTGACTGTGTAAAGAAATGCAGGCTGGGTAAAAGGTCTCTTCTCTGTGTTCCTGTCATTTGGGAAAGGGATAGCCTTCTCCCTATGAGGAATAGAGCTAATGTATTATTTCTTTTTTCAAGTTATTTTAGTTTCAATTTAAAAATTAAATTCTGCCAGGCATGGTGGCTGCTGCCTATAATCCCAGCTACTTGGGAGGATGAAGTAGGGGGATTCCCTTGAGCCCAGGAGTTGGAGGGTATAGTGAGTTATGATTGTGCCACTGCACTCCAGCATAGGTGACAGAGCAAGATCTTATCTCTAAATAAATAAATACATACATAAAAATTTTAAAAAAATTAAATAAAAAAAATTTTTTTTACCTCTAGTTCACTTAGCAGCCATGGAAGGCCACCTTCACTGTTTCAAATTCCTATTCAGTAGGATGAGCGGTGCGACACAAGTTTTAAAAGCCTTCAATGATAATGGAGAAAATGTACTGGATTTGGCCCAGAGGTTCTTCAAGCAGAACATCATACAGTTTATCCAGGGGGCTGAGTATGAAGGAAACGCTTTGGAAGATCAAGAAAGTAAGTAATTAAGTTGATATGTTCTAGCATATAATGTGATGATGATGATGATAATATAATGAGTAGAATCAATGAAATAGGAAAAGAAGATGTAAGGCAAATGTTATATATTTCATACGTAAAAATATAAACATGTTTAATATATAACATATTAAATTTATTACATATCATTCCTTATACATTCATCCAGATTCTTTATTATGAAATATTTTAGACAAAAATATGTAGAGGTCAGATACAGCGACTCATGCCTATAATCCTAGCACCTTGGGAGTCTGAGGTGAGTGGATTGCTTGAGCTCAGAAGTTTGAGACCAACCTGGGCAATAGAGTAAAACCCTATCTCTACAAAAAATACAAAAATTAGCTGGATGTGGAGGCATGCCTATAATTCCAGCTACTTGGGAGGCTGAGGTGGGAGGATGGATTGAGCTCAGGAAGTCAAGGCTACGGAAAGCCATGATTATACCTTTGTACTCCAGCCTGGGTGACAGAATGAGACCTTGTCTCCAAAAAAAAAAAAAAAAAAAAAAAGAGATTAACATAATGAGCAGTGAATCACTAAATTTAATAATAAAATATAGAGACTGGACAGGGTGGCTCACGCTGTAATCCTAGCACTCTGGGAGGCCGAGGTGGGCATATCACCTGAGGTTGGGAGTTCAAGACCAGCCTAACCAACATGGAGAAACCCCATTTCTACTAAAAATACAAAATTAGCCAGGCATGGTGGCGCACGCCTGTTATCCCAGCTACTCAGGAGGCTGGGCAGGAGAATCACTTGAACTTGGGAGGCGATGGTTTTGGTGAGCCAAGATCATGCTGTTGCACTCCAGCCTGGGCAACAAGAGCAAAACTCTCTCTCTAAAAAAAAAAAAAAGAATAAAATACAGAGTTGAAGCCTTTTGGATCTGTCTCCCTAATATCATTACCTTTTCTTTCTCCCCAAAACTAAACTATTACTTTAGATTTTTCATTCCATTCTGTGGTTTTATAATTTGGTTACATATATTCATACAAATATGTGTATTGTTTTGTGCATTTGTTAGGAGGCTAAACTGCTGTAATAAAGAAATCCCAAAGTTCAGTGGCTTAAATGATACAGAAGTTTATTTCTTATATATGTCAGGCTTAGTTAGAGGGTAAATCTGTTTCATGTAGCCATTCAGGCACCTGCTACTATCTTCCAGGTTCCTTATAGTTGTTGCTAATCCAGCAGAGGGTTGGGAGGGAACAAGCGTATCAGCCTAAAAACAGGTATTTCCAAGATGGAAGTTACACTTACCAGGGTTGCTGACATTCCGTTGGCAAGAGTTTACTCATGGCCATAAATAGGCTGCAAGGAAGGATGCATAGTTCATTACCTAGCTGGGAAGCCTTCTCCCAGCTGCAGCTCTATTACTGTTGAAGGAAGGGGGTTTTGGTGGACAATTTGTAGTCTTTGACACTCCTTTTGAAACTATAAGAATGGCATAAAAATACTATCCTGTTTTTTTTCTTTTTATTTTGTTAACACAGATCATAGGAAACAATATCCTTCTTTAACTTGCTTTTTTCACAAAATAATATGTTCTTGAAATTGTTAATTAATAATGGTATCCCAGTTTATTATTTTATATATTCATTAGATTCCATTCTGTGAAAGTCATTATTTATCTATTCTCCGTTTGACATTTAGGTTCCTTACAACTTTTCACTATTACAATCAGTATGGTAATGGCTATTCTTGTACGTATTTCTTTATGTACATGTACAATAATTTCTTTAGAACGGAGGCATGGTGGCTCATGCCTATAATCCCAGCACTTTGGAAGGCTGAGGTGGAAGGATTGCTTGAGCCCAGAAATTCAAGACCACCCTAGGCAACATAGGGAGAAGGGAGACTCTGTCTCTACAAAAATTAAAAATAATTAGCAGGGCATGGAGAGAAACACCTGTGGTCCCAGCTACTTGGGAGGCTGAGGTGGGAGGATTGCATGAGCCCAGGAGTTTGAGGCTGTAGTGAGCTATGATTGTACCACTGCACACCAGCCCAGCCTGTCTCAAAAAAAAAAAATAAAATAAAAAGATTTCTTTAGAGAAGTGCTTCCCTACCTTTTCCACACATAGCCTACATAGAAAATGGTAGTATTGTATGGCACACTGTCAACATTGGATGAGGCCTCTCAAAGTCTTGCTTATCTTCTCTGAAGACTCAGAGTTTAAGAGCTCAGCTTTATTTCTTTTTAAAAACTTTTAAATTTAATTTTCATTTGTTATTTTTATTTGTTTTCTTTTTCTTTTACATAGTAGCTTACTAGATAATCAGCTTAATTTCTAAATGCTTTGTAAATAGTTAGAAAACTCTAAGTTTTACCCACCCTCAACATAAAAGATACTGCTACATACTTCATCAAAGTGGTTGTAGGAGTTTACGGTCTCATCAGCACTGTCGGGTGAGAACTCAGAGAAACACAGTGTTCAGTATTGTTAGACTGTAAAACTTTTACCAGTTGTTTGGATATGAAAAAGTGTAATTTGTGGTTTGATTTGCATGTTCTTGATTACTAATGAGGTTGAACACCTTTTCATAAATTAATTGACTCTTCTAGTTTTCTACTTATTGCCTATGTTTTCTCCCCCTTTAAAAATTGTGTTCTTTATCCTTTCCTAAATAATTTGTCTGAGTTCTCTATAGATTCTTAATACCAATAATTTATTGATTTCATCTGATACAGATATTTCCTCTCACATGGGGCTTGTTATTTTCCACTTTGGTTATGGTATCCTTAAAAAATCATATTTATTAAAGTATAATTTACTTATAATAAACTGAATAAATTTTAAGTGTGCAATTTGATGCATTTTGACATATCTGTACACTCATGAATCCATGACAACAATCAAGATACAAGACATTTTCATTTCCCCAAAGATTTTTTTATACCACTTTGCAGTTCATCCCTCCTTTTACTGTAGCTCTAACCACTGCTCTTGTCAATACAGATTAGTTTGCATTTTATAGAATTTTATATGTAAAAGGAGTGATTTTGAGATTCACCCATGTTGTCTGTATTAGTACTTCATTGCTTTTTATGGCAGAGTAGTATTTCATTGTGTGGATATGCCATATTTTGTTTATCCATTTACCTGTTGTGAGCATTTGGATTGTTTCCAGTTTGGGGCTAGTACTAATAAAGCTGCTATGAACATATATGTGGATATATATTTGCATTTATCTTGGTAAAGAGCTAGGAGTGGAACTTAAAGTAGCGGTATATGTTTAAGAAGATGTCAAACTGTTTTTCAAAGTAGTTGAATCGTTTTACATCTCTCACCAGAAATATATGAAAATTCCATTTGCTCCATGTCTTTGTGATCAGTCTGTTTTAGCCATTCTAATGGATATGTAGTGTTAATCTTGTGGTTTTAATTTTCATTTCTTTGATAGTTAATGATGTTGAACATCTTATCATATGCTTATTGGCCATTCATATATCTTCTTTTATGAAGTGTCTATTTTGTTGCTCTTTTAAAAATTGGGTTGTTTTACTACTTATTGAGTTTTGACAGTTCCTTATATGTTCTGGATCCAAGCTCTTTGTCAAGTATCTATAGGTATTGCTAATATCTTCTCTTATTCAGAGGCTTGTCTTTTTGTTTTGGTTTTTAGAGACAGATTCTTTCTTCTTTTTTTTTTTTGAGACAGAGTTTCATTCTTGTCTCGCAGGCTGGAGTGCAATGACATGATCTTGGCTCACTACGACCTCTGCTTCCTGGGTTTAAGCGTAGAGACAGATTCTTGCTCTGTCGTACAGGCTGGAGTGCAGTGGCACAATCATAGCTCACTGTAACCTAGAACTCCTAAGCTCAAGTGATCCTCCTGCCTAAGCCCCCCAAGTAGCTAGGTCTACAGGCATACCACATGACACCTGGCTAATATTTTAAAGTTTTTTTTGGTAGAGACAGGGTTTCACTATGTTGCCCAGGCTGAACTCGAACTCCTGGACTCAAGCAGTCTTCCCGTGTTGGCTTCTCGAAGCATTGGAATTGCAAGTGCGAGCCACCAGGCTTGCCTGCCTTTTTCTTTTCTTAATGTCTTTCAAAGAGCAAAAGTTTTAAATTTTGATAAAGTACAGTTTACTGTTTTTTTTATGATTAGAATTTTTAGTTCTATCTATGAATTATTTGCCTATTCCAAGATCAGCAAGATATTCTCCTATGGTTTCTTCTGGAAATTTAATAGTTCTAGTTTTTACATTTAAATCATTGATCTATATCAAGTTAAGTTTTGTATATGGAATGAAATAAGGTGTTGATTTAAATTTTATGTTTATTTTATTTTACATTTGGCCAGTTGTTCCAGCATCATTTTTGGGAAAGATTCCCCTTTACTGATTGAAATGTCTTGGCACCTTTGTCAAAAACCAGTTGCCTTAGATACAGCTGGGTGTGGTGGCTCACGCCTGTAATCTCAGCACTTTGAGAGGCCAAGGTGGGGGGATCACAAGCTCTGGAGTTTGAGACCAGCCTAACCAACATGGTGAAACCCAGTCTCTACTAAAAATACAAAAATTAGCCAGATGTGGTGACATGTGCCTGTAATCCCAGCTATTCAGGAGGCTGAGGCAGGAGAATTGCTTGAACCCTGAAGGTGGAGGTTGCAGTGAGCTGAAATCGTGCTGCACACCCCCTTGGGTGACAGTGTGAGACTCCATCTCAAAAGAAAAAAATATATGTGTGTGTGTGTGTGTGTGTGTGTGTGTGTATGTGTGTTTATATAATATATATATATATATATTTCTACTCTTGCTGGTCTTTGTTGTATTCTGTCTTACTGATCTGTATGTCTGTTTGCCATTATTACACTGCCTTGATTACTGTAGCTTTATAATAAGTCTTAAAATCAAGTAGTATAAGTCCTTTCAACTTTGTTCTTTTAAAAATATTCTTTGGCTATTCTAGGTTCTTTCTTTCCATATGTAAAAATGAGAATAGCTACATTTTATATTTGTTAAGACGGTTAAATTATGCAATCCTTTGGTATCCAAGTATTCAAGAAGATCTTACTTAAAAAAAAAAAAAAGGCAAAATGATGCATTCCTTACAAGTGCTTACTACTGTGTCTGGCATTTTTGGTAAAGACTCAATTTATATAGTTATTAGCATTAAAGACATTTTATTAAGCATCAACTATATGCTAGGGATTGGGTTAGGTACCGTCAGTGTGTGTGTGTGTGTGTGTGTATGTGTGTTTGTGTATGCATGTATGTGTATATATGTACAGCTGGTCCTCCTTATCTGCAAGATCCACATCTGCAGATTCAACAGATGGAAAATATTTGAAGGAGAAACCAATAAAAATAACAATACAGCAATTAAATTAATGCATATAAATAACAATACCAGCTGGATGCAGTGTTCCATGCCTATAATCCCAGTGCTTTGCTAGGAGGCTGGGGCAGGAGGATCACCTGAGGCCGGGAGTTTGAGACGAGCCTGGGAAACATAGTGAGACCTCCAACTGATATATATATATATATATATATATATATATATATATATATGTGTGTGTGTGTGTGTGTGTGTGTGTGTGTGTGTGTGTGTGTGTGTATGTATATATATATATATGTATACACACACATTAGTCAGGCATCATGGTGCATCCCTGTAACCCTAGCTACCCGGAAGGCTGAGGTGGGAGGATTGCTTGAACACAGGAGTTCAAGGTTACAGTGAGCTGTGACCACACTTGGGTGACAGAGTGAGACCCTGTCTCTGAATCAAAACAAACAAAAGCAAAACAGTATGACAACTATTTTCATAGCATTTCTATTGCCTCAGATATTATGAATAACCTAGAGATTATTTAAAGTATATGGAAGGGAGGATGTGCATAGGTTATATGCAAGTATTGTACCATTTTATATAAGGGACTTGGACATCCATAGATTTTGGTATCTTTTGGAGTCCTGGAACCCCGAGGATTCCAAGGGATGACTCTATATGTGTGTGCACATATACACTTCTTATCTGCTTCTAGTCTGTTTTGTTGTCTTTGCTGTCTTGCAAGCAGGGAAGGAGTGGTCTGTGCAACTACAGGCCGTGAGACTAAGTGTGTCTTTATTTAGTTATTTATTTTTGAGATGGAATCTCACTCTTTTGCCCAGGCTGGAGTGCAGTGGCACGATCTCGGCTAACTGCAACCTCCACCTCCCAGGTTCAAATGTTCTCTTGCCTCAGCCTCCTGACTAGCTGTGACAACAGGTATGAGCCACAACACCTGGATAATTTTTGTATTTTTTGTAGAGATGGGGTTTCACCATATTGGCCAGGCTGGTCTTCAACTCCTGACCTCAAGTGATCCACCTGCCTCAGCCTCCCAAAGTGGTGTGAGCCACCATGCCTGGCCTCCAAGTATGTCTTTATACAAAGGGTTTTAAATGACCATCTTCTGTGTTTTGCAGTGGTATGAGAGAGAAAGAGAATATGGCTAAAAATAGTTCTGGTACAATACTTCTGGCATGTTTGAAGTCCTGAGAGGAGGAGGAGTAGAATGATTAATAATAATTTTTTCTTACGACTCTCTTTTTACTGCTTATCATCAACTGAACTTGTTCCATTACGACAGCCTTATATTTGATAAAATATTGGAACCTGAAATATGTGACGGCTTAAGACAGGGAAAAGAATAAACTCTTGTGTTTAGTGAAATGCTGAATTTTTTATTTATAGCTTTAGCATTTCCAGGTCATGTGGCTGCCTTTAAGGGTGATTTGGGAATGCTTAAGAAATTAGTAGAAGATGGAGTAATCAATATTAATGAACGTGCTGATAATGGATCAACTCCTATGCATAAAGGTGAGTTATTATGATTCCTGCTTTCAGTTCTGATACAATTGCTGCTGAGTTATTAATCTTTTAAAGTAATTATCAGGCAGAAACACATGAAACATAAAGCTTTTTTCTGATGCCCTAGCAGATATTAGTCTGCCTTGTATGGTATACAGAATGCCTAATTTTCAATTCAAGTGTAATGTTCATTTTATGATGCCAGATATTCATGACTATCTTATTCAAGGGTAATTCCAATAAAATTTCTATAGTGACATTATCATGTTAGTTAAGATGTGAAATGTACTGCTAGAGAAATTTCTTAGAATACCATTTTTAAAATGACCTATTAATTCATACTAAAACAGAAATCATCTCTCTTTCTCTCTCTCTTTTTTATCTTGAGGCAGGGTCTGGTTCTGTCACCCAGGCTGGAGTGCAGGTGGAGACCTCCTGGGCTCAAGTCATCTTCCCACCTCAGCCTCCTGAGTTAGCTGGGATTACTACAGGCATGTGCCACCAAACGTGGCTAATTTTTGGTCTTTTTAGTAGAGATGGGGTTTTACTGTTGGCCAGGCTGGCCTTGAACTCCTGGCCTCAAGTGATCTGCCCACTTTGGTCTCCCGAAGTGCAGGATTACAGGCGTGAGCCATGATGCCTGGACTGATGGCAGGTGATTCTTACTAAACTCTTAGAGTAAAATTATAGTAGGCTTATTAATATATTCACGTGTTTGAATTGGACTTTATTTCACAAATAACTTCCGGCTGTCCACAGATCATATATTATGTTCCTATTGGTTAGGTTTTTAGCTTACTATTTTCCAAATAGAAGATTATGTCATATGTAAACAAGGATAATTTGACTTCTTACATTCCAATTTGGATGCTATTTGTTTCCTTCTCTTGTCTGATTGTTCTAGCTGGGTCTTGCAGTACTCTGTTGAATAATAGAGGTGAAAGTGGGCATCTTTGTGTTCCAGATCTTAAAGGCAGAGCTTTCATATTCAGTAGTATACTAGCTGTGGGTCTGTCACATATGACTTTTATTATGTTGAGGTATTTTCCTTCTATACCAGGTTGTTGAGGGTTTTTATTAAGAAAGAATGTTGAATTTTGTTAGAGGTTTTTTCATTATCAGTTGAAACGATCATATGGTTTCTATCCTTTATTGATATGTATAGCATTGATTGATTTGCATATGTCGAAATCTGTGCATCACAGGGGTAAATCTCGCTTGGTCATGATGAAATGATCTTTCTAATGTATTGTTGAATTTGATTTGCTTGTATTTTATTGATGATTTTTGCATCAATATTTATCAGAGATATTGGCTTATAGTTTTATTTTTTGATGTGTCTTTGTCTGGTTTTGGAGTCAGGGTAATACTGGCCTTGTAGAATGGGTTTGGAAGTATTCCCTCCCCTTCTATTTTTCCAAATAGTTTGAGTAAGATTGGTATTAGTTCTTCTATAAATGTTTGATAGAATTCAGCAGTGATGCTATCAGGTCCTCGGCTTTTTTTTTTTTTTTTTTTTTTTTATGGCTTTGATATCATTACTCATTATTGATTTTTTCAGGTTTTGGGTTTCTTTCTGGTTCAATCTTGG